GTTTTGACTACAAACAATATATATATTGACTAACTCCATAGGCTGCGCCATTTTGACCACGTTATCTAGGTGCATAACTTTTGAAGGACAATTTCTTTTGTATGCTCTCATTTAATAAGCTAAAACCATTTTTTCCCGCATCGATTTCTTCGAAAACGTTGCCAACTCACAGGGATAAGAAGATCATTTTAAACGTGCTAAAAGATTGCCGACACACTCTCTTGCCTATGCTTAATGTTATGAAACCGGCAGCCTTCACCTATTACGTAGTGTTTTACTGTTAACAGGTTCATAATAAGATCAAAAGATTTTTCACTTGTGATGCGTGGAACGAAAGCGCTGAAACGAACTGATTTGTGTTTCGCTTCCGTTTCCGGATCACACTCTGTATCAGTCGCTATTACAAATTGTTTATACCGTTCCAAATAAGACGTTATATTTCCATGTTCACTAAAATAGTCATCCAAGTTAACTTGAAACGGTATTTCCTTTGAGGATCTCTTTCATCGCCTTAACATAAAGCTGTACATCTTGTTATTATCGATAAAATCCCAAACACCCATCCAGTCAGATGTAATTTGTTTAGTAAAATAATAGTAATAATAATAAAAACAAATGGCACAAGGTCGAAATTGGAATGATGTAAAGGCACTGATTCTAGCTGTCCTGTTATTACCTAGCCACACATATTGATCCAACCATCTTCATAATATCGCATTTTTCTGTCTTTCATGCAACAATAAACAAAAATTAATCACATTTTCTCTACAAAAATTCCAACTAACTCTAAATTTACCGTTATCTGTTTTCAGCGGGGTGAAAGCTTTCACCATCATACACCCAACTACTGATAGGTCTTTCGACCTGTCATCCCAGAAGCATTTCAACATGTCGATGCTTTCTGTTCGTATAAGTAGCGATATTGAATACATCGCCGGCTTGCTGGGACTGTCGTGAAGCTTAAAACATCACCGGTCACTGATCTGCGGACTAACAAGGACTGGCGTTGCTTATCTTTTGGAATCGGTGTTTCAACTTGATATGGCCGTAGGCAAGGCAGGGTTGTTAAAACTGTTTATTAATAAATAACAAGTTAAACATTTTCCATTATGATTTAAATAAAAGATATATTTACAAAATGTGATAATATATTTCTCACCCAATCTAATAAAGCAGAAAAAAGTAAATAATCCAGTGAAAAAATGATGAGTTAAAATATAAGTTGATTTAATTAGTTTTTTTTTACGGCTTATCAACCTTTTTCAGGCGATTTAAAATAATATAATATTCTTAGACTGTGAGAATTATTTGGGTAATAATAAGGATTTTACGAACACAAGTCCTATTAATTGATCCATTGCTGAAGAAAGAAGAGGTGAATTCATCGCTTTCCCGGAGGAATTTGCTTGAAAGTGAATATAATCAACCTGACTGGATTTCCAACTGCGAACCGTTGTCCAATACACCACTGGTATATCCAAACTTACAGCACCTGACATTAACAAGCAACCACCCATCTAGATACTCACCAGGCTGAACGTTGCTTAATTTCGATGATCATACGAGAACCGGTGTTTCAAGTTGTATATGAGCATAAAGCAAATATAATAAGATAAAGAATAAAACTAAAAGCGAAACATCACTATTGCACATCCTCACCACAGAACATTATCACCGTAGTTCTTTATCACCACATAACTCTTGTGATGGATGATCATATGAGAACCGGTGTTTCAAGTTGTATATGAGCATAAAGCAAATATAATGAGATAAAAACTAAAACTAAAAGCGAAACATCACTATTGCACATCCTCACCACAGAACATTATCACCGTAGTACTTTATCACCACATAACTCTTGTGATGGATGATCATATGAGAACCGGTGTTTCAAGTTGTATATGCGCATAAAGCAAATATAATAAGATAAAGAATAAAACTAAAAGCGAAACATCACTATTGCACATCCTCACCACAGAACATTATCACCGTAGTTCTTTATCACCACATAACTCTTGTGATGGATGATCATATGAGAACCGGTGTTTCAAGTTGTATATGAGCATAAAGCAAATATAATGAGATAAAACTAAAACTAAAAGCGAAACATCACTATTGCACATCCTCACCACAGAACATTATCACCGTAGTACTTTATCACCACATAACTCTTGTGATGGATGATCATATGAGAACCGGTGTTTCAAGTTGTATATGAGCATAAAGCAAATATAATAAGATAAAGAATAAAACTAAAAGCGAAACATCACTATTGCACATCCTCACCACAGAACATTATCACCGTAGTTCTTTATCACCACATAACTCTTGTGATGGATGATCATATGAGAACCGGTGTTTCAAGTTGTATATGAGCATAAAGCAAATATAATGAGATAAAACTAAAACTAAAAGCGAAACATCACTATTGCACATCCTCACCACAGAACATTATCACTGTAGTACTTTATCACCACATAACTCTTGTGATGGATGATCATATGAGAACCGGTGTTTCAAGTTGTATATGAGCATAAAGCAAATATAATGAGATAAAAACTAAAACTAAAAGCGAAACATCACCATTGCACATCCTCACCACAGAACATTATCACCGTAGTTCTTTATCACCACATAACTCTTGTGATGGATGATCATATGAGAACCGGTGTTTCAAGTTGTATATGAGCATAAAGCAAATATAATGAGATAAAAACTAAAACTAAAAGCGAAACATCACCATTGCACATCCTCACCACAGAACATTATCACCGTAGTTCTTTATCACCACATAACTCTTGTGATGGATGATCATATGAGAACCGGTGTTTCAAGTTGTATATGAGCATAAAGCAAATATAATGAGATAAAAACTAAAACTAAAAGCGAAACATCACCATTGCACATCCTCACCACAGAACATTATCACCGTAGTTCTTTATCACCACATAACTCTTGTGATGGATGATCATATGAGAACCGGTGTTTCAAGTTGTATATGAGCATAAAGCAAATATAATGAGATAAAAACTAAAACTAAAAGCGAAACATCACCATTGCACATCCTCACCACAGAACATTATCACCGTAGTACTTTATCACCACATAACTCTTGTGATGGATGATCATATGAGAACCGGTGTTTCAAGTTGTATATGAGCATAAAGCAAATATAATGAGATAAAAACTAAAACTAAAAGCGAAACATCACCATTGCACATCCTCACCACAGAACATTATCACCGTAGTTCTTTATCACCACATAACTCTTGTGATGGATGATCATATGAGAACCGGTGTTTCAAGTTGTATGAGCATAAAACAAATATAATGAGATAAAACTAAAACTAAAAGCGAAACATCACCATTGCACATCCTCACCACAGAACATTATCACCGTAGTACTTTATCACCACATAACTCTTGTGATGGATGATCATATGAGAACTGGTGTTTCAAGTTGTATATGAGCATAAAGCAAATATAATGAGATAAAAACTAAAACTAAAAGCGAAACATCACTATTGCACATCCTCACCACAGAACATTATCACCGTAGTTCTTTATCACCACATAACTCTTGTGATGGATGATCATATGAGAACCGGTGTTTCAAGTTGTATATGAGCATAAAGCAAATATAATGAGATAAAAACTAAAACTAAAAGCGAAACATCACTATTGCACATCCTCTCACAGAACATTATCACCGTAGTTCTTTATCACCACATATCGCTTGTGTTCGTCAGTGGAAAAATGTTGTTCTTCATGATAACGTAAGAATAACGTAGCAAACAAAATTGAAAATCGGTTGGCTTACTCTACCCATCTCGTCATATTCACCTGACCTTGCACCATCCGATCATTACCGTTTTCTATCGCTGCAAGACGTTTTGATGGAGAAAACATTATTTAATGTAAACCAGATTTAGGAGTTCTTCGAAAACCTCTTTTTTCAGATTAAAACCTGAAAAATGTTAGTGAAAACGTATCGGAAAGTTGTCTGGCAAGTTAGTGCAAATAATGGCGATTATATAATTGAATAAAACATGATTGTAATTCCCTTTGAGTAGAATAAAATTGGTTAGAAATAAAAACGGAAATTATTTGTGACTCAACTTAATTGTTAATGAGTGAAAACGGCAAATCCCATGTTGGTTACTACGTAGCGATTTTAGTACATACCAGATGACGCGTTGGAGAAAATCTATCTACTACAAAAGTTCATGGAGATCCGTTCCAGCAAGAAGGCAAAATCAAGCGCTGCGTAAGAAAGCCAATTGATTGTTCTTAAATTATATGTACTGTTACTATGTCAATGTATTTGACTGCTTCAGTCTCCTGGTCATTATTCCATCGATATGACACTGGCAATATATCGATCAATTAATTTTGGGAATTTATCTAGCCGCAAACTTCAGCTGATATTCTTTTTAAACTAGCCATTTTTGATAAGCATGGAAGCCATCTCTAATCATGGGATAGCTACTTCGCCTCCATATCTCGATTTAACTCTCCTAGATTTGGGTACCTTTTGTATGGTTATTTAATATTGGTTGAGTCAAAGATTATAGTCGGAACCAACGACACATTCTGCTTTTGAGGTAATCCCAGCAATTTTTTTTCAAGACAGCATCCATCAATTCCTGCTTCTGTGTTAATAGCAGATAGTCATGGAAATGCTTAACATCCAATAATGATGTGTGAAATTTCCGGATATGCAGACATCTTAGTCTTAGGTTCATCGAAGTTTATTCAGTATCGTTACAGATTATCGCTCCCCAAATACACAAAAAAGAAAAAAAAAGTATGTTAAAGATTCCCGAAAACTATGTATCTGTAGACGACACTCCTAACTGAAAATTTAATCTCCTTTGATGTCGTTTCAACGTGACTTTTATCTGTCCAATTCCATTCTTAATGGTGGAACAATGTTGAGGAGAGATACCAAAAAGATAAAATTTATTTGAGCTACAAAAGACAAGAACTTGTGGAAAGCCATGATCGTTTACGTTCTGAAGTCGTCGACTTATTTATTTTTTCTTTTTCTTTTTTCATCTTTCCTCTTTTTCTTTTTTGGTCACTTTTTCATTGTTTACTTTTTTTTTCTTTGTCCAGTCTTCCTTTTTATTTTTTCAATTCTTTTCCTTTCTTCATTTTTTTCTTTATCTTTTCACTTTTTCTTTTTCATTTTTTTCTTTTTTCGCACTGATTTTTTTTTCTTTCTTCATTCTCTCTTTTTCATTTTCGGACTCATTTTTTCTTTTCTTCTTTTTTCTTTTCAGACATTACTTTTTTGTTTCCTTTTTATTTTGTTCTTTTGTTTCCTATTCTTTGATCAATTCTCCTTTTTCTTTTTTCAATTTTCTTCTTTTGTTCACGCTTTTTTTTCTATTTGTTTACCCTTTTTTTTTGTTAACTATTCTTCTATATCTCTATCTTTATTCGTCTTTTTCCTTTACGCACACATTTCTTTTTTTCTTTTTCGCACGTCTTTTTCTTTGATCATTCTTATTTTTTCTTTATGTAGTGTCCGTTTTTCACTTTTTTTTTGTTTTCTTTCTTTCAATCATTTTCTTTGTTCATTTCTCATTCCCTCTTTGTTCAGTTCTTTTCTATTCAGTCATCTTCTTTTTACTGTTTTAATTTTAGATTTTTGCATTTTACTGATTTTTTGCTCACTCTTCGTGTTATTTATTCAATCCTTTCTATTTATTCTTTTTTCTTTGTTCATTCTTCTTACTTTGCCCTCTCCAAGAAAACTAGAAACAATTTCACTGTTTTCTTAAAATTCCTAAGACATACGTCTTCTAAAAAGCACATCAAATAAAATGTATCCACGGTAAAGCATAAAACATTCGACTCTCTATGCTTATCCTTATTTGATGTCAACTATTCAGTATTTCCGTTCGCCATGGGCAAAATGTTGACTTTGTGGTATAGCAAGATTGTTAAAATCAAATTAATCACATACAATCTAATTAACTAATGTCGCATATTGTTGGGACATTTTATTTCTTTCGCGTAACGTTTTCAGGCATTAGTTGAATACAAACAAAGAAAAGTACTGAACTGCTACGTAATATCATTCCTCTTATATGGCAAAAAATGCTGGAGGAATGAAGAGATTTGAAGTAAAAGAAATATAGTTCTACAGAACAACACTGAGAATCCAATGGACCGTGCATCCGTGCAACGACGTAGTTTTAGCGAAATTGGAAGCAAAAAAGACAACTTATACATAATATGAGAAAGAAACAGTTGAAACTTCTATGGCACATAATGAGGCAAAATAATTTGTGCCAAATATTAATTTACCAGATTATTATTTTTAGAGGAAGTCTATCTCGGCTCATATTTCGGGAGGTTGACAGCTGGGGTCAGATGTGAACCATTATAGGGAAGTCAGATTTAGATTGGCAGATATAGCGTGGGAATGATAGATAGAAGAAAGATTTCAAGGGGTTGATTCTTAACCGTCATGAGATGTACACGCGTTTTCTTTCGTGGTGGAAAGTGCTTCCCAGTAAGAGGGAACGACCCCCACTATATGCTCAGATAATATAGATGACGATATAATTAATAAAAATGGCTAAGTTAAAAATCTCTGTGTTGAAATCTGTCATTTGCCGAACGGAAACGATTAGCGGTTGCCGGCCAAGAGAAAAAGCCGAGCTGAGATCATTCACTGCTATCAACAAAGGACACTTGAAAAATTTGATATTCACTGGACAGAGTGAAGACACGTCGAACACAAGTAAACAACGGATAATTTACTCATCGAGCTGGTATAAATGGATGGCGGAACATGTTTTAGGAGAGATAACAAAAAGATAAAAATTTATTAAGTGCTACAAAGGACAGGAAATTGTGGACAGCCATGATAGCCTACGTCCTTAAGGGACACGACCCATAGAAAAAGTTGACTACAAAAAAAAATGAGTATGACTGGAAAGTTTTATATTTCTAAAAATAAAGATAAAAAATAAAAATACTCAATTCGTCGTATTTGTTATATATGGACACATCTATCTGTAAGGTAACGAAATGGGTCCTTGCCGATTTTTACGCCGTGTTGGAAGAAATGCTTCACCAGCACCGCATAGAATAAAGAAAAAGACTAATGTCTAGAAAAGATTGATCAGGTGGTTACTCTAGACACTGTCTGCTACTGAAAAGAAATAACGGTACCTTTTTCTCGTTACTTTCTCGGAACCTCAAAGTACCCATAATTCATAGCGTGCACAGCAGTGACGAAAAGTGTGTCCGGCATGAAATTCTCAAGCGTGTCACCATGGGATCCTGAGTCAGTCGTTCAAGTCTGAACCAACTGTTCGGTTAAACTCTCTTCCTACGGACGGGAGGAACCCGAAGGTGGCTACGCCGAAGGGCGGAGTCTCCTTCGGGGAGGTAGACCGGCCCTGAACTCGTTTATACGGGTTCAATGGGCATATTTTTGGCCGAGCCCACGGGCTCGGAATGCCCACGTTAAAAAGGCCTTGTGCCACATGACACCCTCGTGGGGGGTGACTGAATATCGTCACCATGGGATCCTATATCTCATGTCACAAGACTAGCTCTACACACGTGCATCATCATACTTGCAGTTGGCGGACTAGCCGGCAAACGCTGAAATATGAGCTGCTACCAATGGACGAAATATTCATTGTGCATATGTACTTGCAACAGTTGTGTGCAACAAGCACTAAAGCAGAAGGTAGCAGCATTTCTTTTTACCATAAGGATGTACTGTTCCTCCATGACAATGCCATGCAGGTGCGGAAGGCCAAGGATATCATACGGCAACTTAACTGGTAGACACTGAGCCATCCACCTCCCCCCCCCGGACTTTGCACCAACAGATTATTACCTCTTCATATTCCCTGGACAACAACCTTATTTGGAAATCCTCCTCAAATAAGACAGACTTCATGGAGGCACTCACAGACATCTTTGCGTCCAAGACACATACTTTTACCGCGAGGTTCTGGATGATGATGAGGATTAATTTGAGAACTAATGTCAAACTTGCTGTATACATTTTTTAAATAAAAAATAGAATGAATATTTTTGGTTACCTTAAATATTCCTAGGATTGATCGAGTTCATATTTTGGAGGCACAGGTGTTGAAATTTTTATCATTAATTCCTCAGAAATGAATCTCTATGCGTTTAATATTTACACACATGATAGATATGTAAATGTTTGTGGACGATACATATTTAATAAACACAAACCTACGTATCACTAAATAATTCTAGAACAATGAATTTCGTTTACCGCAAGAACAAAACAAATACGTAAATGCTAAAGAATGAATATTAATTAAATATACATGAATATTAATTAACGGTGGATAACAAAGATTGATCATAACAAGTGAATGTGTATCGAATTGATTGTACTCTAGAAATAGTTGTGAAAATTTCAGTTTTCTTATTTGAATATTTTGATGAATCATATGTTAATGATTGAATAATCTAATGGCGTGTTCTATGATAAAATATCCGCAGAAATTTCCTTACCAAATCGTTAAATATTTGCCCTGAACAACTTGAATATAATACTGTAATAACTGGTATGGTCCAAGGTTAGGACCATGGAAGAACAACACGAAACACAACAGTAGGAATAACAAAGAATATATTACACAAGAAATAATACAAAGAAGTGAAAGGGTTAGTAAGACTGTCCGACTGGTTTGGCGTGACTGCTATCAGCTTGACTTGATTCGGTATCTAGAGCGAGGGTTGCATGTGGCACAAGGCCGAGTTTAACCTGTTAGACATTCTCATGACGGTCATCCTCGAGTATAGAATCCAGAGGTTGGCAGTGAATATTTCGAAGACAGTAGGAAAGCGTAGTTTAGGTTCGCAGTGGATATCACATCAGAGTGTAGTTCATCCTTCTCCTGGTCGCCTTTGGTCCTTCCGGTAAAGGAAACAAGATGGCCGCCTTTATACACGACGAATACAGTGTTGTGCGGCTTCTGATTGGTCAACCTTCTATTGGTCGACTATAAAGGGAAATAAGTCATTCTGACTCGCTCACTAGCTACATGTACAATATACCCAAAAAACCGTAACATAACCTGGGTTTCCCGAGCCCGTAGGCTCGGCCAGAAGATGCCCGTAGAAACTGAAAAAACAGAATCGGGTTGGTCAACCTCCCCGAACGAGACTCTACTCTTCGGCAGAGTCTCGTCCGGGTTCCTCTCTGCTCAGAGGTAGAGAGTTCGACCGTCAAGCCGAGAAGCTCGGCTCGATTCACTACCGTCCCAATACCAAATCCGTACTAATACTGTTCTGATACTCTACGTCTCTCTTGAGAGGCGTAACATATATATCGTTCGGAGGAGTTCATTCTGTCGGTCTAGGTTGGCCCCATGACAATAACAATCATGAATATGAATGCTGGCCGTTATTTTAAGAAGTAAGGGGGTACAAATAAAAAGGTTTGAACTGGATAACTTTTCCATTTAACCGAAACATATTTTAAAAGCTTCTTTCTTTCTGTTTTTTTCTTTTTCTCACTGAAACGAAGTGACGTCCCTGATATATCAAAACTGAATAGTTCATTATTTACGAGGTGATTGACTGGAGATGCTAAACACTTCTTTGTTACTTTGCCAAGTAGCGTATCTGGTATATCTTTTCCATCTTTCCCTCGATCAAAACGTAATAGTCAATTTATTTATAGGTATTACCGGGGAGTAAATGTCGTGATAACTAATAGACAAGAAGAATTATAAGGTAATTGAATAGGACAAGTCTTAATGTATATTCTCTGTTTGTGTTATCTCCAGGCAATGTCTATTGAAATAAAACATATTAGATATTTAAAAGACAGGGAAGTTTGGAGTGCAACGATCGCCTACGTAGAAGAAAAAGAAAAGGAAGATAAACCAAAGAATTTTCACATGTTTTCACTTTTTTATCGAGTATGTGAACGCGCGCGCGCGCGCGTGTGTTTAATCATCGGGTCCATAGTAATGAGAAAAATCCACTAAAACGCAGAGCGAAGGGAATCGAGGTGAAAATACAATAGAAAAAGATAAGGAATCAGATGATAGCGATCGATATTGCGTTTAAATTTAAGAAGATTTTACTTCACAGGAAATCAAGAATCTGTAAGAGAGTTCCATAGGCGAGAGGTTCGAGAGTAGAAATAATTAGAAATAGAACTTTTACGGTTACACTTTACAATTTCACCAGTAAATCGGTGAGACCGAGATGACAATCGAGTACCAAAGAGAAAAGCTATAAACAAAGAATTCGTTTCGTCTTAGATTCTCTGGCAAACACGATAATTAGGGAATATTTTCATCCGTTCTATCGAACTGGATTACCGACCGATGTCCTAGCTGCGTCTAATTTTCATGATTAAATCCTCAAATATACTTAAATCACGTCTTTTGCTTTCTTTTGATCACGTGTAAAACTGACCTCTTATCGTGATTTGCTATAATTATCCAGTATGTAATTTAATTACTTTTTCAATAAAGGATTGGCTTGTTTATAATTTTTACTTATATGTAGATATTTACTAGCGGGCTTTTTTAATTTCTCGGCGAGTGCACATGCCTCACATCTTGCCATCAGGTACTATTTTAATGTGTGTATGTATTTATATATGAATATATGAGGCACGATGGAGTAATGGATAGCGGCTTGGATTGAGGAATCGCAGAGCCGAGTTCGAATTCCAGTCGAATCCATTACATTCACGTACGTGCTAATACCCTTACCTTGAATGGTAACTGGTCTAGGAGAAGGACAACTCTGAATT